ACAAAACAAGAGAGAAACTTTCTGTATTCCAGTGGCTGACCCTCAGCTTTTTTAAAAAAGCTAACCTTGTATGTTTTTATCCTGCATTAACATGAATAATGAGAGCTTTAACCATTCTGGTATTTTGACCAGTAATTCGGTGAGATGTTGACGTTCACAATTGGTTAACATAAGCTTTAATAAACCCTCTGCTCGAAAGGTCTAATGATCAGTAAATATAATGAATCTGGACACGCAAATAATGACTTTGCAGAATTCTTCTCAGAATTACCTATTGTGTCCTACAAACGCAATAAAAACTTAGGTGATATTCTCACCTCCCCAACAATTAAATAATTCATTTTAATATTATGTGTAGATGCATAAATGCATAATGCAAATAAACTCCTGATGAGGCGGATTTGCAGCAATATGAAGAAAATTATTTCTTCATCATAAATCAATTTATAACAAGAATAGATATGGGTTACCCCATATCCAAAGATATTCGACTTTTAGATTTAATATGTTTAACAGTGTTTATAATGACGTTAATAAAAAAAACTGCACTGTCTAATTATGGAACTGTTGTAAATTTCGTGAGTCCATAGCATTACGGTCACCCAGTCTCCTAACAAACAGTACACATAGGCCTACATGTACCTGTGTCCGCAAGACCAACATTAGCCTTGGTCTACAAACGTGCGATGGAGCTGTCAAACGCATCCAGCGAGCTCGGAGAAACACGTTTTGTTTTGCCGAGAAGTTACGATGGCAGACAAAACTTTTCTTTTCTTAATTAGATCATATGAATAAATTCTAATTAATGAAAATTATACAATCCCTGTTGAACTATATATAGTTTGTTCTAACATTTGCATCTGCAACAACTTGTGTTTAAAATGGCCGGGTTAGGAAAATCAGGACCGGGTCGGAAAATTCTAAACTGAAAACCTTTTTTGTTTTGAAAATTACTGAAATATACTAATATATTCGTCGCAGAAATTACTTACATTATTCAAGTTCTATATAAAATGGTATGCTGAACTTCAACACGAACCCAAATCTCCAACCCAGTTCTCGTTTTGCCACACATACCCTTCAGTTTACAAAGTGTACACACGAACAGAATGCGGCCAGGGATTGAAAATTCCGTCATTTAATAATACACACACACACAGAATGATTAATTTTTTCTTTAAGAAGAAATTGTATGATAATTAACGGACTATAAACATGTACTTAGTACAATTGTTGATATAGTATTATCAATTCATCGGTGAAAAGATATGAATCGAAGAATGACCTAAATATTCTCTGTTATCAAACATGTAAAAAAAAAAAAAGGCTGAGGAGGGAGCGAGCGTAGGAATATTGATATTTTTTATTTGCATTTCGGGGGGAAAGTGACTTTCTAATAATATTTTGACGTTATTTTTTATTTCTTTAACGTATGACATACACAACTTTACTCTTATCATGAACAATAATGTTGTATCTACTTATCATGATGGAACTATTTTGGTCGGACCAATTTGTGTGAGCCGCCGCTGAATACAGTAATATATCTTGCATAAATAGTATGCACTGATCGAATATATTAAAAATATACCTCGTTTCACACCGCCGAAACACTAAATTAGTGTAGAGTCAAGTGATCGGAGGTACGTGGCTGATGGGAGCCACCTGTTTAAAATTAACACTGCGCTTTATGGAATGATTCATGGGTTCACGCCCTTACCATGCACATCTATAAATTCTGTATTTTAGTTTCAGTTTTCTACTTGAAAAACGAAATTAATATATAAAGACAAACGAAATTAATATATAAAGAAAAATGAAATTATTAAAAGTAGAAAACGAAATTATTAAATAAAGAAAAACGAAATTATTAAATAAAGAAAAACGAAATGATTTATTTAATAATTTCGTTTTTCTTTATTAAATAATTTCGTTTTTCGTTATATATTAATTTCGTTTTTCTTTATTCAATAATTTTGTTTTTTTTTTAATATATTAATTTCGTTTTTGTTTATTTAATAATTTCGTTTCTCTTCATTTAATAATTTCGTTTTTCTTTATTTAAATAATTTCGTTTTTCTTAATTTAATAATTTCGTTTTTCTTTATTTAATAATTTCGTTTTTCTTTATTTATTTTGGTATGCACTATTGGGCTTCCGTAATTGTCAGTTGATGTGAATAACAAAATATTTCACTGTGTCCAAAGGTTCATTCGTGATTCAGGTAGATTTTGATCCGTTTTTCTTCTTCTGTTTCTTTGTCATTTAATCATACCTGTACAACTTTGTTTGTTTATGATGCGAGAATTTTACTTGTGATCATGTTTATTATTTATTATCATTATTGTCATGTATATTTTTTCCAAATAACTGTTATAATTGTAATCATTTACATGTATCATTATAGATCTACATATTGTAAGAACTCTGAATCTTAAGTAAGTTTCTTAACTTGAAATATTTTGCATTAACTTGAAATATTTTGTATTTATCATGTATATGTATAACTTTACACCTTAAATTGTTAATTTGGCAATCACTAATTTAATTATTGTATATATTACAGGGAGAGGTTTTTTTAAGTTGCAAGAACTTGTAACCAATCCCATTGTATAAATTATACAATAAAATATGTTCAAAACAAACAAACAAACAACCTGTTTTATACGCAATAACTCTCCTCATGCCCCTGTGCTAAAAATAGCGACATGTAATACTATAAGTACTAATAAAACAAACGGGGCGGGGCACTTTGAGAGGGGTGAGAGAGGTCCTAGGGAGTTTTGGTATAAAATTACATTGCATAAGCTCAAAATCTTCTCGAAATATCGCCCGGAAATGATAGTGTTACACACAGACAGAATGTATAAATACGACCTTGAACTTTGATCGTTTGACCTCAAGATCAATAGGGGTCTTCATTAGGCCACAGGGAGTTGCTATGTAAAATTTCATTGCAACAGCTCAAATGGTTCTAGAGATATCGTGTGGAAACGAAAGTGTAACAACAGACAGAATTTGCTTTTTTATGACCTTGACCTTTGACTTTTTGACCTCAAAATCAGTAGGGGTCTTTTTAGTCCATAGGGAGTTGCTATGCTAAATTTCATTGCAAAAGCTCAAAGGGTTCTCGAGATATCGTGTGGAAACGAAAGCGTTACAGACAGACAGAAAGACGGACGGACAGCTAGACGGACGAACCGACGGACGGACAAACCCAAAGTAATATCCCCCACTTTTCAAGCGGGGGACAAAAAGTGTTGTTTTTAGTTGCAAGTATGAAAACAGATAACAGGAAAACCTATAAAAATTTAACATCATGAACATCATAACAACATTAAAAGAATCAAACGTATGACCTTTCAACGATGTAACCATTCTCCACGATAATTAAACGTTTTTCTACCATCTGTTCTCACAAAAGAGAGAAAAAGAACTCATGTTTTGTCTCTAGTCATCTACAGAATTTTGATGAAAACAATCTAGTTGAACTCCAAAGTAAATTTGCATGCCTTACCATTTGGGCATCTGTTCCTCCAAAGTTTATTTTAAACAAAACTTGAGTTTCTAATTGACAATCAATGTTGATTCTATTTTTAGGTTAAAAATGACCCAGTGGTTCTGCAAAAGAGACAATTACAGTTTCTTTAAGGATCATTTGAAACTAACTTCCAAATTTGCATTTTCAACCTTATTTTTTTTATTTGGAACTTTGAAATTAACCTCCAAGGTTTGTTAAAACAGCGTTTTGTCCGGTAGATTGTTGGAAAAACTGTTCTCCAAAAACCACACAATGTTGTTGTCAATCAGAAAATCAAGCGTCTGTTAATATTAACTTCAGATTTTTGTTTACAATTAACGTTGGTCATAATTAACAAAATAATTTTACAAATGATCAATAACAAAGTAAGTAAATTTACGAGTTCCATTTTTAATTTAAAAATGAAGCAGCTGTTTAATTTGCTTTATTGTTCTTATATTTTTTGCTGCAATCCAGCAATAACCGTTTGTTCCCTCTTATTTTTATCTAAAACTATAAAAGTGCCTTGTTTATAAAAATTAAAAAGATAATTTTAAAAAAATCGTATTTTGATGTACATCGCCTTGTATGGTTTCAGTCAGCTTCTGAGCTTGATAATGTTTCGTTATCTCCATAATTGATTATCTAAAACCCGTCTGCTTAATTAGCTTTGAAAGAATCTCCTGAAGCTTAGCAATTAAGAGTTATAACATTTAAAAAGAAGTAGAACGACAAATCTCTTATTTCTGGGGGCAATTAAAATTGAAGGTCAATTCAGAATTAAAAGCCAGTTTTAGTATTTTCTTTTAACATGTAGGTCACAAATCATTTTGAATCAGAAAAATACAATTGTTATATTATGTAAAAGTGTTTACCTAAGTTATCGATTTTCCTTACAAAATAAAAAAAATATTATAATTGCCGACGTCAGCAATTATTTATCTCACAAAAGGATACATTCTTTGAATTTTGACGTACATTGCATGTTAGATAATTTATTTGTTTAATTGGTTTAAAAATAGATATTATCAATATGTCAAATAATGGATTTGTATTTCTTTTTCTGTTTCTCTTCCTTTAGTGTAAACATGCTTTCTATTTTGTTTTGAAAAGTTATCAATCTACAGTAAAATACGTACATAGAAAAAAGAAACACGATTTATGCCGAATAATTTGATTTTACACAAATACAAGTTTACGTAGCGTCCATTGGATTTCGATAGGATCCTATCATCACTCAAGTTGTAAATATCACCAGTATCAAATTGGAGAATGCAGGTGAGAGACGATAAATGCGTCCTGGTTTTTAGAGCTCAAATGCTGAGTCCATGCATGTTTTTTAAAAGGAATGTAATTGAAAAGAGATCTAGTCTTTCTTAATAAAGAAAAAATAAAATGGCAGTAGTATACTCTATCTTTTTGTTAAGGCGCATACCTGCCGCAGAACAGTAGAAAGTTAGAAGTTTATAATTATCAGGTATTCGTTTTGGTATTTTCGGACTCATCCATTTTTGAAAAGCAATTGAGTCTGGAAGGGATATCTAGATATAAAAGATGTGTATCATTTCAATTATGCACTTGTCAACCACACCAAAGGGACCATTTATAACAGTTGCATAAAATATGAATATATAGAACAGGTATAAAGCTCAAGAATCCAGTGGAACAATACGACTTGCAAGCGGAACAAAGTTGGAAAAGTAAAAACATCTGAGGTGGGATCATATGTCATAAAAGAGTAAGCATCTCCTCTCGGTTGGTTAAATCCGTCGTGTGCTTCCTGTCATGATCAGACAAATGGAGACAATTCAGCTTGAAAATATTTTTTTTTAAATTCAAGTTCCTTTAAAATATTCGAATTATATGAAATTATTAAGTTAAATTTTAAAGAAATAGGAATTTTTCTTCGCTTTTGCAAGAGATGCAAAAGCTAAAGTCTGACAATTATTTTTAACGAATCATCATTTTTGTTGAAGCGACACTCGTTCCGTGAAAGCCATGGACGTTCCCAGGAAGCTAGTCCCCATTCACCGTTCAGAAAGGTGTGTGAGCACCAATTAAACCACCATCCGCCTTTAAAGTGTGAGGAACAACTTCCGTTTTGCCATGCATCATGATCCATGTCTGGGGTAGAAAATATCCAACCATTTAAATCTGAGGCTCCACTAACTCTCATGCTATCGTCTAAAAAGAGAAAAATGCAATTTTGGAAACAGTTTTTTTTTAAGTATTTGCTTTAGAAGAAACTGCATTTACAAGCCACTTGCAAGGGAAAAAAATGAAAAATTCAAATTATCCCGATAAAGAATTGAAAAATTAAAGTCCACTTCGACAGGATAAAGTTTCCTTGACGCGACTTTAAAAAACATTTATTTTACACCTATAACCAATTTTTTTTTAATTTCTTTGCTTTTAACCAATATTTTCAATTTCAATTTATTCTTTAGTAACATACTTGTATAAATCATTTGACATACGAACATTATATACAGGTTCTGATTCTCATATGGCATTCATATATAAAATGTACCGAGAGTTCCTGAAGTTGCTCCATTTAAGTAGAGTCGGTAGCCATCCGTTTCATCGGAGATGGAGAATTGTGGGTAATGTACATAGAGTGATGCCCCATTGGTCAAAGTTAGGGCAACGTACAAAGATGGTGTAGAATTCGTAAGTTGATGTATATAATCATTGCCTAATTGTATAAAATTACATCTGAAGTGAAACTTTCAAAAGAGGTATATAGATCACAAATGCTGTATATTGTTTAAGAGCTGAATACCTACCTAACCAATACTCACTTTCGGCAGTCCCAAACCCTTGTTTATATTCTGTCCATTGTTTGTTAAAACTTAAAGAACCGTCTAGTCTTCTCTGTATTATCTGACATTTATTGAATTTCAATGTATTACACATTTTTTATGCAATGCTTTGATAAAAGCTAGGACATTAAACTATTAACGGTATATGAAGATTTATTGATTAAAATTAACTTTTACCTTGCATGACCAGATTTATATGATTCACTATATTGCAACAACAAACTTAAATATCTTTATGGAGCATAGTCTAAAATTAATTTTGTTGCAAAGCAATGTTTTTGTTGTTGCTGCTGTGTTGTAATAATTATGCATTTAACAGCCTGATATATACTTTAATGGATTTATTTTAATCATTTTGTGGATAACCTAAGCTGAGCAGCTGAGTAGCAGGTGAATGTTTTTCTGCTCTGAATTAAAAAAAAAATGAATATTTAGAGTGGGCTCCAAAAACTCTTCAAAACTTGTGTGAGTCAATGTTTTAGACCAAAAAAAAATGGTGTTTTTCTCATTAAGCAACATGAGAGTTTTAGACAAAAAAAAGTTGATTTCCTCATAAAGCAACATAACCTACAATGCACATGAACTTTCGATTTCTTCTTTATATCATTTTCCGAAGTCAAGGGTTTCTAAGCAGCTCCGCTCCACAAAAAAAAAAACCAAAAAAAAAAAAAAACACCAGACCGGAGCGGATCAGAAGCCCTTGACTTGGGAAGATGCTTTATACTTACCGTCCAACCACCGCCATCTGTAGCCATATCACAGAAAACTTCCACTGGTCTATCGTACTCCATCCAAGGGTAAATGATATTCACTTTTTTGCAATTTCGACCAGCATTCAAAAGGTCTAAGCAACTGCGTACCAGTTGGCCTTAAATAGCAATATTACTTACTTTTAAAGAATCAGTGTAGAATAATACAAGTTTTTGAAAACCGATCACTTTACTTCCCCTGGTTTTCAGTAAAAGAAGATAAAAATCGACACTTCGCAATATCGAACACGATTTTTGCATTTAACAATATTTAACTTTTAGGAAAGTATTTAGAACACTTACTAGAACACTTATTTTTCAATGGTTATCAACACCACCTTTCACATCTGATCAAAATGAGTTTTTCTTTTCATTTTATTTTTTATCAAAATTGAGAAATATCCAAAGAGTTTATATAAACTAAGGATATTAGCCGCGTTCTTCTAATCAAATAAACTACTTTTTGGTTTGCAGTATGAGAAGATGAAAATCTTACTATGGCCTTAAATTTAACACTTCGCCATATCGAAAACGCTTTTTTCAGTTAACAATATTTGACTGCATAGAAAGTATTTAAAACAATTACTTTCCATGACGATCAACACCACCTTTCACACCTGATCAAAATGAGTTTTTATTAATTTCATTTTTCTCGAAATTGAGAAATATCCAGAGTGTTTGTATAAACTAGGGATATCCCTTTGAATAACCCTCATTTGTGTTTTCCAGAAAATTAAATAAAAAAAGATTTCTTTTTATCAAATGTGAAGGTAAAAATAAATTTTATTTCAGTTTGTCACGAATATTTTTATATGCCATATACCTTTACCACTTAGACTAAAATACCCCCATCCGTTCCCATCAGTATTCAGATCAGTCTCCACACAATGACGGTGTAAACGGCATCCTCTCAGCAGTGGGTGAAAACCGAAGCATTCGCAGTCGTCCATACATTTGGCAGCACGCTCAAACACCCAGTCGGCGCTTTGGGTGCTAATTAATGAACCATAACCTTTCTTATAGTAACAATCTGGAATCTTGTAGAAAACACGAGACAAGGCTGACAATTTTAAAATTTTCGTAAAGATCGAAATTAATTGAAGTAGCTGTCCGTACGCAACCATCATCTGACAATCGTTTTTATAACTGTATGCCAAATCCTTCAGGCATCAATACAACCACTGAATCATTTGTAAGAAATGATGCAAGAAAATCTTGAGGTACATAATTTAAATACATCAGGAGAACAGACGATCTAAGGCGTCAAGGAGTAACGATCTTTGGGGCAATTAAAATTGCAGACAATACATAATTTTAAAAAAACGCTTGCATAAGTAATTTCGTTTGAAAAGCACGAACAAGTGGCTAGTAAAGTTTAAATGGTAAACATGAATTAACAAAAACAATTTCAGTGCAATATAATTAAATGTAATTATTATTTACAATCCGATTCGATGTACTAGAAATGTGATTCCTGTTCGATAATTGTTATTTCTATTCGATAAATTGTTATTCCTATAGGAAAATATGATTCCTATTCCAACACATATCAATCATATTCGAAAACGATAATTTTGTCATTCATGCAATTATCATCATAGGATTTATCCGTCTACAATCTCAGTTTATGGCAAATTGTTCCTTTTTGATTGAGCAGCAAATTGGTAAAGTAAAAACAATCATGAGCGAAAAGGGTTTGCATCTTGAAGCTCTAAGTCTTATTTATTTTAAATTAATCTTAATTAAAGCAATTTCAATACCTACAATTTTCTGCTCAAATCTAATGAACACTACAAATCAGGAGCAAAGCAAACACATACATCCAAAACATCAGAGATGAGGTGCCATGGGGGAGTGAGCATCCCTTGCCGACCGCTCTTGTGCAATTGGACACCCCACGGAGAAAATTTCTGAATTCATTGATTTACATCTCCGTCCACACGTAGAAAGTTTGCCATCCTATCTTAAGGACACCACGGACTACATTAACAAGACGCCCTCTACTGGCCTCCCAGATCATACCCTCCTCGTGACTATGGACGTCACATCTTTGTACACCAATATTCCGCACGATGAGGGTATCGAAGCCTGTAGAGAAGTCTGGGATAGTAGATCCATACTAGTTCCTTCTACCGAGTCCCTTGCTAAGCTCCTTGAACATGTTCTCAAGTTCAACAACTTCATGTTTAATGGAGAACATTACCTGCAAGTTAATGGCACTGCTATGGGTACGAAAATGGCACCGTCTTATGCCAATGTCTTCATGGGCAGACTGGAACGCAACTTGTTACTTCAAGCACCATTTAGGCCCCATAGCTGGTTGCGTTTCATTGACGATATAGAGATGAAGTGGGTGGAATGTCGCGAGAGCCTCGAGGCATTCATTACGTTTGCCAACACCTTTCATCAGTCAATCAAATTTACAGTAGACGTATCTAATTCGAAAAACGTATTCCTAGATACTACATCTACCCTGATTGACGGTGAAATCGAATTCAGTCTCCACACCAAACCCACAGACTCCCACCTATATCTTATGCCCACTAGTTGTCATCCCCCACACACTTTTAAGGGAGTGCCTAAGGGTCTAGCCACCAGAATTCGACGCATCTGTTCCTCCCCTGCCTTATATCAGGAGCAAAGTGGTCTTCTTAAGTCCCACTTATGCAAAAGAGGCTACAATGCCCGCTCCGTACAAACAGCTATTGATGAGATGGCGGGACATGACAGGCAAAACCTATTACGCTACAAGGAGAAAGACAATAGCGGCAGGGTCCCTCTGGTAACCACATACCATCCCGTCCTTAAGAACCTTAGCGGTATCCTTCAAAAGAACCTTCCAATTCTCCATTCAAACAAACGAATGGCAGAGGTCTTTAAGGAACCCCCACTGGCTGCATACAGACGCCCAAGAAACCTTAAGGACATGGTAGTAAGAACCAGACTGGACAACCCATTACCTAACGGGGGCTTTAAAACTTGCTCTGACAGAAGATGTCTTCTTTGTAAGCACAGCACTGACACAGACAGTTTTAGCAGCCCTGTTACAGGCCGCAGCTACAAAATACTAGGGAATTTGTCCTGTCAGACTGACAACTGCATTTATCTCATCAGTTGCAAAGTTTGCTCCAAACAGTATATTGGTGAAACAGGAGATCTCCGCAGGAGAGTTAATAACCACCGCTCGACCATTAGGACCAAAAAACTCAATGAACCCGTTGGGGAACATTTCAACCTTGAGGGTCACAAATGGGAGGACATGACAGTAGTGGTGATTGACCATAACCCAGGATGGACAGATGCTCAGAGAAAAAGCAAAGAGAAGTTCTGGATGCACAGATTGAAGTCATTCCGCCCTAATGGCATTAACAAACTAAATGACTTCACCAGAATGAACGTAAACTAGACCCAATTCCTGATGATACCATACAAGATTATTCTCTCAATTTAGTGTTAACTCTACTGTTAATTTGCGTCACAAACTCTCGGACAACCCACTAAAATATCTATTGTTTAAGCTTTTGTTAAAAAAAATTTTTTCCCGGTAATAAATCCTTAAATTTATAATGGATCTTAATTCATATGTTTAAATATCCCTGCTATATTATTTTTCTTTGATTATTCTTTATTAAGTAAAGTTATGCCATTTTGAGAGAATGAAACACTGTGCGATTTACTGATTATCGTAATTGATTAGCATAATTAATTCGTTCAATTATCACAAAACTATTTATTGTTTACGCTTTTGTTAATTTTTTTTCCCGGTAATAAATCCTTAAATATTTGAAAATTTATAATGGATCATAATTCATATGTTTAAATATCTCTGCTATTTTTTTCTTTGATTATTCTTTATTAAGTAAAGTTACGCCATTTTGAGATAATGAAACAATGTACGATTTACTGATTATTGTAATTAATTAGCATAATTAATTCGTTCAATTATGTAAATCGCACTTCACCCGAGTATACCCGATAGACCGGACGCATTTCACAGCGGTCCGGATTTCTTTCTTTATCAGTGTTCTTAATATTTCCAATTCAACATGTAATTATGTAAATATCTAGTGTTTAGTAGTTTAGTAGTAGTGCTAGTTCTTTGTGTTTCTCTTTTTCCTTTGTTTTTATGACTTTTTAACTTTTTTCTTTGTCCTGAGGAAGGGACAGGGCGTCCCGAAAATTTGACAATTTTTATTGTTCGTGTCGTTGGTCATTTTAGTGCTTTATATAAATTTCCATCCGTGACCTTGTATCTACTTGATAGATCCGACATTTAGGATATACAGTGTTGTTGGTTTCTTAGTGCTTTATATATATATATATATATATATATATATATATATATATATATATATATATATATATATATATATATATATATATGATACATAAAGAATAAATGTTATTGCTCAGTAAAAATACATGTTTATATTCAGAGAATTTTCAGTTCGTATTCTTTTAATATAATACGTATATAAAGTTCTTTATGTTCTCCAGTGTAATTTAACTAATTTTACAAGTTCACTGAAGCTAGTTTTTTGCACACACCTCTAACCTTGTGTAGCCCATATCACATCCATATTAAAGTAACACCAACACAAAGTTTGATGGATGAATTTGTCATTTATTTTACATGTATAAATGACGAAAGATAATCACAAAATACATCAAATAAAGGGGAGATCACTCTTGAAAAAATGTGTAAATTTGTACACACTAATTGATCTCCCCAGTGTAACATATTACATCAAGAAAATCAAAATAAACAATCCAGAATGTAAAAAAATAACAATAAGCAAAAAAGGTGGTAGACAAAAACTGCCAAAATCTAAACATTAAAATATAAACATATATCACAGTTTTTATCCATTTACTTTCACACTGCATATTTATTTAGTAGTACAAAGGTGGAATAATGATCGGGGTGGTTGGTGGACAGCACTTGGAAAACCCTTCTTACTGCGATCGAAAGTTCTTTCAATTTCTAGTAGCATGTGCATAATGTCTGTGTCACGAAAACGTACATATACATACATATTGACATAAATCAATTTTTTACATTGAGTTATGAGATTCATAATTCATGACTCGCAA